ATTATCTGGAGCTCAATGGCAAAACCAAACCAAACACAGAAGTGATAGACAGTGGCATGGTGTTCCAGGCCTGTAATGCCATCACTAGGACTAGGGAAGGTGAGGAAGGATAGACAGACTGAGGTTAGCCTGAGCTACACAGAACTCCAGGCTACCTGGTAAGATCCCGCCTCCAAAGTGAATAAACAATTGGTAGGGGATCTGCAGGTCTGGACTTGGGAACCCAGGTCAGTGAGGGTCAGCTTTGTGAGAGAGATCAGAAACATCTAGATGGTCCCGGGCTCTGGGTGGACTGAGAAGTAACCCTGACGCCTCCACTTCTATGATGAAGAGGACAAATGCTGTTCAAGCTACCTGGACAATGACCGCTACAACACATGGAGGACAGGACCTTACAGCAACTGCTGGAACAAGTACACCACCTGTCTCCCCCGGCTGCCTAAGGTACCTGAGGTCTGGGACACGCACGCACGCACGCACGCACGCACGCACGCACGCCATCTCCAGACGGCGGAGACTCTTCTCCATCAGTAAAATTGGGGTTTTTATTTTTTAGCTGACAATGGCGGCCAGGAGTTGGCCTGGGATAGACCCCTGGGTTCCAGTCTCTGACCCAGCTTGGGGGCGGCATGGTTACTATGCACTCCTTGACCGTTTTTTGAGGTTTGCCAAGCAGCCCTGCCTCATCTGGTCTGGCTACTGTGACGCCATTGCTACCCTCGAGTCAGTAATGAAGTAGGTCCTTCCTGCCCCACTTCCCCCTCCACTGGGATGGGAACAAGGATGGGAGAAAGACGAAACTGCTCAACAGCAAGAGGAGACTTCGAAGAAAATGGAGTCTCCAGGCCCGTTTCAAGCCATGTAAGGCAAACTGAAATCCAGAGCAGCCCAGTTTAATGGGAGGCTGAAAGCTGGCTGAACCCTTTTGAAAGAGAACTTTCTCGCGAATCGGATTTTACCCCCCCCCGCAAGTTCCCCCAAGAGATTCTGATGAACAAGCAATATTAGCTAGAGCCCCCTATTATAGAGACGCCCAGACACAGAGGACATATAGGCAAATGTTAAAATAGAGTTGTCAGAGTCCCAGGCCTAAAAGCACCTCTACCACTCACCCCTGACTCGGGTTCTAGCATCCTCACCTTCACCCTGCCGGCGTAGGCGGAGCAAATGCGTTGCCCAGCAACAACTCCAAACAACCCCTAAGAATAGGGGAATTGCTGAGGAGGGGAGACTGCGCCGCCTGAAGACAGTCTGGGCATTCAGGGAAGACAGCCCCCCCCCCCAAAAAGGAGCAACTTGTCTCGTGACAGAGCTTAAGGTAGACTGTGTGCCGCTTCCAGGATGCCGGGATGGAGACGGTAGTGCGAGGGATGCCGTTGGAGTACCCTCCTAAGCCGGAGCGCCTCAACGCCTACGGTAAACGGCGGGTTGGGCAGGCTTACTGAGTGCGAAGGAGAAAGCCAGATGGCAGGAAGGGGGTATGGGGGACCAAGAGAGGGTGTAGTTGTGTGTCTGTACCTGTTTTGTCTCTCCCTCGGACGCTGATCCTGCTTTTTTCCCCCCCGTCCCTCTGACATTGTCTTTGGGTATCCTGGACTCTGGGCTCAGAGCGCGAGGTAGTAGTGAACATGCTGAATTCGCTGTCCCGGAACCGGACTCTGCCACAGATTGCGCCCCGCTGCGGGTGCGTGGACCCTCTGCCGGGCCGCCTGCCATTCCAAGGATACCAAAGCCCTTGCTCCGGCCGCCACTACTGTCTGCGCGGGATGGACTACTGCACCACCGGGGAGCCTAGCAGAGAACGCCGCCTGCGGCCTTTGTGTTCCAAGGAGCCGACTGTAAGGTTCGCAGGGATCCGCCCGCCTTGGCCGGGCTCCACTCACAAACGAGCCCTGCCCCCCTAGAGTCCCGCATTCTGCCTCATTCTGGCTCTGTTGTTAACACGCCAGGCCCCCCTCCCCAGGGCACAAGCGAACAGCTAAGGCGGAAAACCAGCGTGAAGGTTACCCCAAGTCCTCAATCCTGTCCCTTCCTAGCGTGCTCAAGGTCAACCTGATAAGTGTTTGTACTCTCGAGATCCTGCAAAACAGTTTAAGAGGATTCCAAAGCCCTCACACCAGCCGCAATCTTTTTCACATTCATGGGCCCTGGTCCGTATTGGACTCTTGGGACTGGAGTCAGAAGTTCTAGCCTGGGTCTGGGAGCACCGTCAGCAGGGGGCATCATCGGGAGAAAGGAAGTGGTTACTGCTTTCCCATAGGGTTCCTGGCTTCCTTGAGTGCTAAATGCTAAGCGCACAGAAGAGCACTGCATCCAGACACAGCAGACAATACCAGTTGGGTCTGGGGAGAAACTTTCAAGTCTGTGACTGTTTAGAGCTTTACAGAAAGGCCCCGAACGCTCTCCCTAATTCTATGATGATCTCCTACCCCTCCTCAAGCCTGATTCATTGTCAAAAATTGGATCTTTCCCCTCAGAAGGGGTGTGGGTATGGGGAGCGTCTCAGCCTCTAGAAGGCCTAGAAAAGCTACCTACTTGAGTTGAAGAACTCGCGGTCTTACGGAAGGGGCGGGGCATGCTGGATCCTCAAAGGCTCTAACTGATCCTCTCCAGACTCCTGGCCTTGGTGCGGAGGGGACTTCCTGGAGCCTTCTCAGAGGCCCTGCTGTAATGGGTTTATGAAGGGCCAAACTTAGTCTGGAATACTGGGCTATGAGGATATCAAAAAGCCCGACCTCTCCCTGCTCTTTCTTCCTTCACTAGGAGTGTCTCACCCTACGTTCACCGGCCCGGGATGCAATGTGCTGTTACAACTCCCCCGCCATCATACTACCCATTTCCCAACCTTAAGTAAGTTTGGCGCATTCACTTGGACGCTGGAGACAGTGCCTTTAGTGGCGGTGGGGGATGAGCGGGGAGACTAGTTGGGGTGGGAAATGCATGTTGAAGTGCTCAGACAGGAAATTAACGCCAGGGGGCGCTAGTGCCATGGGGACATCAACGGTTGCGAGCGACCAGAAGACATCAACGAGGGCTTGAGTTGGCAGTGGACTCAAAGGCAATGGAATTGGGTTCAGGGTTTTATATAAAGGATAAAAGTCAAGGTTGAGAAGGTATGTCTTGGATATCAGAAAATCAACAGGAGAACGGAGGTCAGAGGTGAAATGTTGAGGTAAGGGTAATATGGAGAATTGGAGTCAGGTTCGTCTCTCCTTGCAGATGGGACACAAGCCACTTCAAGAAAACTGGTGGTCCCCAGAGAAACAACTATGTTGTCCATCCTGAGTTTGTGTCTGAGACCTATCCTGTCTACCATTCCTGGTAAAGCTTTGGCCAGGTCAAGGAAGAGGGTGGAGCAATAAACTCTTCACCGCAAAGACTGCTTCCTGTGTCCTTACCTAGAAAGATCTCGATGTGAACTCCCCCCCCCTTTCCAGTCACCTCAGGACACCCCTAAGTGCCCTCCTGATACAGAAGTAACCCTGCTGATGCCCTCCTCCCCATCACCTCAGAGCCTGAGCCATCGGCATGAAGACCCTCTAGCTGACATTTTCCCCAGAGTACCTATAAACAGACTCCGTTCACATCTCAGATCCCAGGTCCCCACCGCAACCTCCCAAAGGCTCGCTCTGCTCAGACACCTTTGCCGCCTTCCCCTGCCCAGTCTAAGAGCTACAGAACATCATTTTTGGAAAGACTCGTGATCAAGAAACTTCCCATTGTAACACGTTTCTCTGTCCTACAAGGGAGCAGTGGGTGGGGTATTCTAGAATCTTCTCTTGCCCCACTGCTTGCTTTAGGGAAAAGGGTATGGGCACAGCACCGGCGTTTTGTTTTTCAAGGCAGGGTTTCTCTGTGTAACTGTCCTGGAACTCTCTCTATAGACCAGGCTGGCCTTGAACACATGGCGATCCACCTGTGTCTACCTCCTGAGTGCCGGTATTAAAGGAGTGTGCCATTATCTCCCAGCCAGCACAGACATTTCTAACTAAGGTTGTCACTGAGAGCAGGAGCTACACATTATGGGTCAGAGAGTGGGCATTGCCACACACTGAGCAGAAACAGGGACATAGTTGGTCTGGTCCCATGAGAACTGAAGGCTTAGAACACGGGCTGTCTACGAGTTCCCCCTGTGAAGCTTGTGACTGGAGTATTAGTGGTAGGCAGTGGGAGCACAGGTCCTCCCAGAATTGTGATACCTGTTTTTACACTTATTATATGTGCCGTGTGGAGTCAGCTCTCTCCTTCCACTCCGTGGGTTCCAGGGATCGAACTTGGTGAGCTGACGGTGGCAAGTGCCTTTGCCTGCTTCCCATCCCTTGCCCATCTGCCCAAATTTAGAGGGAATGATGGATTCCCAAAGACCTCTTAGTCACTGTTCTATTGCTGGGAAGAGACACCATGACCACAGCAAATCTTATTAAAGAAAGCATTTAATTGGAGGCTTGCCTACAGTTTCAGAGGTTAGTCCATTATCATTGTGGGGAGCGTGGCAACAGGCAGGCCTGGCGCTGGAGAAGTAGCTGAGAGTTCTGATGAGACTTTCTGATCTACAGTCAGAAAGACTCTGGGCTTGGAATGGGCTTTTGAAACCTCAAAGCCCACCCCGAGTGGCACACTTCCGCCAACAAGGCCATTCTTACTCCAACAAAGTCATGCCCCCTAATTCTTGTAATCCTTTCAAACAGTACCATGCCCAGGTAACTAAGCAGTCACAATATTTGAGCCTATGGGAGTCATCCTCAAACCACCACAGCTACCTCTGCCCCTCACCTTGAGGTGCTCTCATACACATAGTAAGCCTAGTCTGGAGCTGCAAGAACCCCAACATTCAGCAACTCCTTCCTTTAGAACTACATCTCCCATAAGGCCTGGGGATAAATCAGGCTAGCGGGTGGCCAGCTCATTGCTGGGCGGTGCCTGAGGCGGGAGTTGGAACCCGAGGCACCAATCTAAAGGCGGGCCCAAAGGGCAGAGCTCGGGCGAGGAGAAGAAAGTTCCGGCAAGGCACTCGGAGCTTCAAGAGACTGTGGGGGAGGGGCCGGACGACAGGGGTGGGGCTGGAGTCCCAGGCCTGAAGCCACATTGGACGACTGGGCGTGGCCGGGTAGCCCGAGGGCGGGGCGCAGGAGGGGCTCAACGTAGCCCAGCCAGCAGCAGCCCGCAGGGTCTGTGGCTGCTCAACTTCTGCTGGCGTGGAGAGAATCAGCCGGTGGATCGCTTCTCCCCTTCTTACGTGTGGTGGTCAGTGCGGTGAGTGAGCCCAGTGGGAAGACTTTGAGGCCGAGGGGTGCCGAGCTGCCTGAGGAGCACAGTTCCTGAACTTTCTCTCGTGGGTAGAGCGACCCTGGACACCTGAGCCCCTCCTTAGGCCAGCTGTTCCCAGCGGGAGACCGGTCCTTTGACCTTCCTCTGCCCCTTTGGGCCCTGTTGGGTGTGGCGCCAAGGGTGGGTGTAAAGTTTTCCAGGCTGTGTTGGAGTGCAGTCACTTGATCCTTGTGGATCCTGTCCCTGAGCAGGGGAGGGAGATGGGCAGGATCGAATTACCTTTGACATTTCCACTCCTCTCCCAATAGTGTCCGACAAAGGACTCGGCCTTAAGTGGCACAGTTGGGCTGAGCTGGGTCCTCGCCCTTAAACTGTAAGCTAGGGGCTTGCAGCCAAGTCTGAGGTTGAGTGTGAAGCGAGTGGGAAGAGGCTTCTTAGGCTGAGCCTATAGGGAGGCCCATCCCACCTGCTAGCTTTAGCCTGTGCCTGTGTTTGACCAGATGGCAGACGCGACAGATTACAGGGGTCTTGAACGCCACTAAGAATGGAACCACAGAGTTCCTCCCCGACAGCTGCAATACCAGATGCCATTAAATTGCCCCTTTCGCACCCCTAAAATCTTCCTGACCTGCCTGCGGCAAGCAGAAGCTACAGCAGCCCTTGAGAAGACTGGCCTCACTGGTCCACGCCCATCTCTCATTATGGAAGGTGGAGGCAGGATTTCGGATCCCAGGAAAGTCGTTATCTGGGTGATTGCTGACAAGCCCTGTTTTCCCGTCTGTAAAAGGGCCACAACAGCTCACCGTGTTCATGGTATCAGATACTACTGGTTCCTCTGGAAGAACACAGTGAGGTCCCATCAAAGTGGGTACTTAAATCTGTGGGCTCCTTTATCAAAGAACCTAATAATTCTAAACATTGTTTCTCGGAACCCAAGTGTTGAAAGGGCCTTTGAGGCCATCAAAGTGAGCTTTTCAGGCCTCCAGGGGTCATAAGAGAAGGCCAACTTAATAGGGATGTTTTGAAGTTGAGGGAGACTTTCCTGTTTCGAACCAGCCCCTCTCCTTTAATCCCTTAGTGCCCAAAATGTAGCCTCAGTTCCACTTAGCTTTGTGAGAGGATGAACAGTGCTCCCTCTGGGAGGCTGGGGCACTCTAACTTGTGTAGGCAGAGAGGAAAGAAGAGGCTCTTCCAGGCTGGGGTTGGGCAGTGATTGGAGAGATGAGATTGTGAGGGATAAAAATTGTAAGCCCAGCAGAGGGAGGCAGAGGCAGGTGCATCTCTCAGGCCAGCCTGGTCTACAAAGAGAGTTCCAGGACAGCTAGGACTGTTACACAGAGAAACCCTGTCTCAAAAGAAACAGAGAGAGAGGAAAAAGATAAAAGATTTGTGTGTATGGGTATTTGCCGGACTGTATGTGCACCATGTTTGCCGAAGCCAGAAAAGGGCATCAGATCCCTTGGGACTGGAGACAGTTGTGAGCAGCTGTGTGGGTGCTGGGATTCGAACCCTGGGTCCCCTGGAAGTTAAGTACTCTCCTGCCCCTGGGAGAGCTGGGTGAGTAGAAGAGCCTGGATAGTTTTTCCCAGGACCTTGGAAGTCACTGGAGACAGACAGACAGACATTGGCATCTGGGAAGCGGCTAATTACCATCTGCCAGTCTCTTCCCCCCCCCCCCCCAGCTGAGGAGTTCAGCAACCCTCTGGCTGGTAGTGTGTCTGTCTGCCTGTGTTTGCATGTAGCAGGTGCTGCTTCTTTGTTGGACTCTGCCCTTGAGGGTTGAGACAGGAAGACTTAGTGGCCTTAGCAGAAGGGTGAGACAAACCGTCCCCCAAGCCTAAGTTTTCCTGCAGACATATCATGTGAACATTTATTTTTTATTTTTTAAATATTTTTATGGTTTGTTTAACTTTATTTTATGTGCATTGGTGTGAAGGTGTCAGATCCCCTGAAACTGGATCTTCAGATAGTTTGTGAGCTGCCATATGGGTGCTGGGAATTGAACCCCGGTCCTCTGGAAGAGCAGTCAGTGCTCTTAACCACTGAGCCATCTCTCATGTGAACATTTCTTGTTCCCTGAAGAGCTGATAGGCTAAGGAGAGGTAATCAGGCTAGATGGCTGAAATCTCCCAAAGGAGGTAACTTAAGGGTTTAGGCTCGGGAATGAGCTTGGTAGGCTTGGGATAGGCCTGGCTGGACATGGAATCAGAGAGGACCTGAGCTCAAATGCGGTGACATATGCTTGTAATTCCAGCTGTCCAGAAGTTTAGGACAGGAGGAACCCAAAGTCAGGGCCACTCGTCTGGACTGTATAGAAATGTAACTGGAACCCCATCAGGTCTTGAGCCTTGAGTACAAAGCTTGCTTGCTCTCCTGGGAGAAGAAAGATGAGCAGAGAAATGGGCTTGATGGTAGTGGCTTAGAGCCAGGTAGAGTTTGTGGGCACAGAGGGGCCAATCAGAGAAGCAAGATCCTTGGCCAAGCTCCTGCCCCAGTCCTAATGCCGGACCCCAGGCCCACCCTCCTCCAAACCAGTCTCTGTGACTGAATGTGGCTTTGAGTGCTCTCTTTAATTTCCAGATAGCCATCGAGCTGGACTCAAGATCAAATTCCATGACGGAGCTATCCCTTTCCCTCTTGTCATTGTCTCCCTAGAGACAGAGAAGCCAGCATACTGGCTGCCCTGTTAAAGGTCTCAAGGACCATCTGCCCCCTCTTACCGTGGCCTCACATGTGATAGAGTAGGCCCTCTTCTTAGCCAGGGCTTCTTGAGTGCTCCTTCTTCAGGGGCTGCCTGCTTCCGCCGTGATCCTGGACAGAGCCTCGCTTCTCTGGGAAAAGGCAGAAGAAGCCTGCTCCAGTTCACGCGGTTCTCTCCATTCACAGAGTTCTCGCCGATTTGGCAAGCAGTGGGGCCTGAGAGGAAGGAGGGTAAGACTGTCCTGGACAAGACCCCGTCTTTGCCATTTGTCAAGCTCTTAGGCCCCTCTACTAGGCTGCAGAAATGGAAATACGCTGGAAGGGAAAGCTCAGTGTCCTCTCTCTCCCCTTTGCAGACTCCAGCAGGCCAGATTCAGATGGGCTTGGCGCGGTGGTTCCTCCCTTAGCTGGGGACTAATGTCCCAGAACCTTCGGGAGAAGAGCCAGGCCTATCGGCGACACCGACCTAGTAGCAACGCAGGCCCTAAAAGCCTCGAAGTCACCCCAGCAGCAGCCATGTACACTTTCCTGCCTGACAATTTTTCACCTGCCAAACCCAAGCCCACCAAAGAACTGAGGCCTCTGCTGGGCTCGGCGGTGTTGGGACTACTGCTGGTGCTCGCCGCGGTTGTGGCCTGGTGTTACTACAGCGCCTCGCTACGCAAAGCCGAACGACTGCGCGCAGAGCTGCTGGACCTCAATCCTGGCGGCTTCTCCATCCGTAACCAGAAGGGTGAGCAAGTCTTCCGCATGGCCTTCCGTTCAGGTGAGCTGGACCTGGACTCCTGTAGCCGGGAGGGTGCCCGGCTTGGCTGCTCCCGAACGGTCGACGAGCGCCCGTTGTACTTCTTCATCCAGACTGTAAAACCCAAGGACACTGTCATGTGCTACCGCGTGCGCTGGGAGGAAGCTACACCGGGGCGTGCTGTGGAGCACGCCATGTTTCTGGGAGATGCTGCGGCGCACTGGTATGGCGGCGCAGAGATGAGGACGCAACACTGGCCTATCCGCCTGGATGGCCAGCAGGAGCCGCAGCCATTTGTCACGAGCGACGTTTACTCTTCTGACGCCGCCTTCGGGGGCATCCTCGAGCGCTACTGGTTATCTTCCCGCGCGGCCGCCATCAAAGTTAATGACTCCGTGCCCTTCCACCTGGGTTGGAACAGCACGGAGCGTTCGATGCGGCTGCAGGCACGCTACCACGACACGTCTTACAAGCCACCAGCTGGCCGTACTGCAGCACCAGAGCTCAGCTATCGCGTGTGCGTGGGCTCAGATGTCACCTCCATCCATAAGTACATGGTTCGGCGTTACTTCAACAAGCCATCCAGGGTACCAGCAGCAGAGGCCTTCCGAGACCCCATTTGGTCCACGTGGGCGCTGTATGGGCGCGCCGTGGACCAGAACAAGGTGCTGCAATTTGCCCAGCAGATCCGTCAGCACCGCTTCAACAGCAGCCACCTGGAAATCGATGACATGTACACACCCGCCTATGGCGACTTCGATTTCGACGAGGGCAAGTTCCCCAATGCCACTGACATGTTCCACCGCCTGCGAGAGGCTGGCTTCCGCGTCACACTTTGGGTGCATCCGTTTGTCAACTACAACTCGTCGCGCTTCGGCGAGGGCGTGGAGCGTGAGCTGTTCGTGCGCGAGCCCACGGGCCGGCTGCCAGCGCTAGTGCGCTGGTGGAACGGCATTGGCGCAGTGCTGGACTTCACGCGCCCAGAGGCCCGAGACTGGTTCCAGGGACATCTACGGCGCCTGCGCTCACGCTACAACGTGGAATCCTTTAAGTTCGACGCGGGTGAGGTCAGCTACCTGCCCCGGGACTTCAGCACCTTCAGGCCTCTGCCCGACCCCAGTGTGTGGAGCCGACGGTACACCGAGATGGCGCTGCCCTTCTTCTCGCTAGCCGAGGTCCGCGTCGGGTACCAGTCACAAAACATCTCCTGTTTCTTCCGCCTGGTGGACCGGGACTCGGTATGGGGCTACGACCTGGGGCTGCGCTCTCTTATCCCTGCCGTGCTCACGGTCAGTATGCTGGGCTATCCGTTCATCCTGCCCGATATGGTGGGTGGCAACGCGGTGCCAGAGCGCACAGTCGGCCGCCAGGATGGGCCGGGGCCGGAGCGCGAGCTCTACGTGCGCTGGCTGGAGGTGGCGGCCTTCATGCCTGCCATGCAGTTTTCAATCCCGCCCTGGCAGTACGACGCAGAAGTGGTAGCCATCGCACACAAGTTCGCCGCTCTGCGCGCCTCACTCGTGGCACCACTGCTGCTCGAGCTCGCTGGTGAGGTCACCGACACTGGCGACCCCATCGTGCGCCCCCTGTGGTGGATCGCACCGGGGGATGAAACGGCTCACCGCGTCGACTCGCAGTTCCTTATCGGGGATACGCTGCTGGTGGCGCCGGTGCTGGAGCCTGGGAAGCAGGAACGTGACGTCTATCTGCCCGCCGGCAAGTGGCGCAGCTACAAGGGTGAGCTTTTTGACAAGACGCCGGTGCTGCTCACGGATTACCCGGTCGACCTGGACGAGGTCGCATATTTCACCTGGGCGTCCTGACCCACTTCGAGACCTAGTAGGAATCCCACAGCCCTAATCCTAGCCTTCATGCAGAGTTTTAATCCTTTACCATACCTAAATGGTGCACCCTCAGGAAGTTCCCACCTATGTTCCTCCTAGGAAATGGGCACTGACTTAAAAGTGCTCCAGCCAACAGCTGGAAGTGCTGGAACAACGTCCTGCCCCAGTGCACAATCCTAACAGCCCCACCCCACCCCGACATTGACTCCAGTCTTCAGAAACATCTTCCCTGGGTTGGAGGCCAGAGAACTCAGGACAAAGGTCTGTTCTTTCTGTTACACAGGGTCTGGTTTTAAAAGCACACAGAGAAACCTCTTCTCCCCCTGGCCTTTGTAGCCAGCCATCTTTGTCCTCTGAGATGAGGAACCAATTCTCTTCGAAAGTTCCCTAATAGTTTCCTACCATATTTAGAAAGTGTACCTTTAGCTGGGCGGTGGTGGCACCTGCCTTTAATCCTGGCACTTGGGAAGCAGAGGTAGGCAGATCTCCGAGTTAAAGGCCATCCTGTTCTACAGGACAAACCAGGGCTACACAGAGAAACCCCGTCTTGGAAAAACAAACAAACAAAACAAAACAAAACAAAAGAAAGTGTATCTTCTTGAGGACAGCAGCGAGGCCCTGAGCTGCTAACACACACCTGAACAGTGATTGACCTGGTCCTACTCCATCTGGGGAAGAAAAGATACAGACGTTTGGTTTGGCCAGCTGACAAGGAAGCAAAAGGTCTCTTCCCAGGCAGCAGGAGAGCTGAGCTCAGCCTGAACTAACTGTCTCTGTGAACAGACTCAACACTGCACTAATCTATTTGTGTATATTCTGAACTCAACCTTGGACCCAGCCCTGGGCCGCAAGTGCCTAGTGGGCAGATTTGCAGGGCCATGCAGGCCGGACTCGATGCCTTAATTCAAGAACCTGTGTCTATGTGTATGTGTACACATACTTATGTCTGTCTGTGTGCATGTGTGTGTGAGAGAGTGTGTGTGTGTGTGTGTGTGTGTGAGAGAGAGAGAGAGAGAGAGAGAGAGAGAGAGAGAGAGAGAGAGAGAGGAGAGAGAGAGCCACCTTGGGTCTCTAATCCACAGAATGAACGGAATATCCCCGAGGCTGGATAAGCCTAGAGAGAAGAGGATCCAGGGGCAAACTCAAGACTTCGATTCTTGAGCTAGCCCCTTCCCAGATGGTTTCCCTCGGAGGACGCCAGCCAAGTTTAAGGATTCAAAACACTAGAGCAGCCTGAGGAGGTGACTCCAGTAGGTGAAGGCACTTACTGGCGAGCCTGACAACCTGAGTTCAATCCCTAGGTCACGTTGTAAAAGGAAATAAACAGCCCTTTACAATTACTTAACTGTCAGCCGGGCAGTGGTGGCGCACACCTTTAATCCCAGCACTGGCAGAGGCAGGCAGATCACTGTGAACCCAAGGCCAGCCTGGTCTACAGAGAGTTCCAGGACAGCCAGGGCTACACAGAGAAACCCTGTTTCAAAGAAGAAAAAAGCCGGGCGGTGGTGGCGCACGCCTTTAATCCCAGCACTCGGGAGGCAGAGGCAGGCGGATCTCTGTGAGTTCGAGACCAGCCTGGTCTACAGAGCTAGTTCCAGGACAGGCTCCAAAGCCACAGAGAAACCCTGTCTCGAAAAACCAAAAAAAAAAAAGAAGAAAAGAAGAAAAAAAATTACATAGCTGTCTCACCGTGCACACATGATCAAGTGTGGCCTAAAGGGAACCATGTTCTTACTCCGGTCATGATGTGTCTGGCACATGAGTGGTGTTACACTGACTCCTGCCAACACAGTGTCGGGAAGGTCTTTCATCTCAGAAATTCTCCTGTTCTAAGATCAACTCCAGTCAGGTTTTCCTGACTCTGGCTAAGTCTGGAGGAGCGGCTTGCCAGAGAAGATGGACCCCGAGGACCACCTCTCAGCTTCCCTCAGTGGCTCTGACAGCAGCCCCTGTGCCTGGGTGAGAAGCCCTGAGCTTCAGGGTTCCCACAGATGTCCTTCTCCAGTGCCAATTCTTTTGTCCCTTTTCATTGGCGGTGTTGAAGACAGTACCGGGAGCCCCAAGCATACTAAGCAAGCTCTCTTCCAGTGAGCTACTTGCCCAGTTGGTCTTTATTTGCCAACCAGCTGGGTGACCTTGAATAAGCCGCTCAACCCCGCTGAGCCTCTGTGAAAGTGATGATGATGCCTACCTCCAAGGCCATTTTAATAACAAGCACAGATGTACAGAAAGTGCCTGGCACAAAGCAGGCGCTCAATAAAAGATGGCTCTTGTGGTGCTTGTTGTTTTCTTGTTTAAAAACAAGGGTTCTTTGGGTTTTTATTTATTCATTTATTTACTTATTTATTTTGGTTTTTCCAGACAGGGTTTCTCTGTGTAGCTTTGGAACCTGTCCTGGAACTCACTCGGTAAACCAGGCTGGCCTCCAACTCACAGAGATCCACCTGCTTCTGCCTCCCAAGGGCTGGGATGAATGGCGTGCACCACCACCGCCCAGCTGGGATTTTTAAAGACTTATTTTTTATGCATATGAGTGTCTTGCCTGTGTGTGCTTGCAGAGGTGAGCAAAGGGCAACAGATCCTCTGGAACTAGCATTATGGATGGTTGTGAGCCATCATGTGGGTGCCAGGAATCGGACTCAGGTTCTCTGTAAGAGCAACAAATGCTCTTAACTGCTGAACCACCTCTCCAGCCCATTCTGGCCTTGTCCTGTCCCCCCACCCCTGCCAGCACCTCTTGTGCAGTCCAAATTTGTCTCTCTCCCTGTACATTGGTTCTGAAAGCCTAACAAGCCTTGCTCTACAAGGCCTGTACTTGCTGGTCTCTCCCTGCACCTAGGCTGCTTTTACGTGTCAGTGGGGGTGACGTCCAGTGATCTGGAACCCCCTTCTCTAGAGGCAATGGGGAGAACCTGAATGGCCACTGAAGGGGGCTTTGGGATGGGTTGTGAATGGATTACGCTTTAGCCAAGTGGGTTTTCTAAGAGAATTTTGGCCATCATTCCCCACTTCTGAGTAAAGTGTCTCTGATTCCTGCTCTCAGAGCAAGCGTTCTGCCGGCTCTCCTCCACAAGCACCCAGGACCCTTCTTCCCCAAATCCAGGGTGAGACTGGCCTCTCCATCCTCTGGCCCCTGTTGAACAAAGGCTTAAAGGGCAGTTTGCTAAAAGCATTGGCTCTTCCCTTGGCCCTCCAGGTGCACAATGAGTTAACTAAAAAGGCAGAAGGAAAGTTTGGTCGATGCCCCCTTTGTGCACCTGTTTCCTTTGCACCCAGTCATTCTCTCACAGTCTGGTGGATTCCAGGAACACAGCCCCCAGAAACATCTGTGACAAGTATCAAAGCCACCTCTACCCCAGGCAACTGAACAAGGCCTGCCAGACCAACCCTGAGATAATGATCAACCAGACCACAGTCGGACCAAGGTTGATTAACTGCACGCCTCTTGCTCTGGATTCTGTCCCTTTCGAATGTAATCCAGGAGCGAGTGCCTCTAACGCCAGGACTGAAGAGAAGACATTGCCTGCCTTGTCTTCCTAGTATAGTTACCCTGATGGAAATTCCTTTCCTGCCTTTCACAGTTTCTCTGTTTTGGAGTCAGATTTGTCAGGATCCCTAGAGTCTGATCTCTAGGATTCCAGCAACATTCCCCACTTCAGGCCTTGTTGCGACATTCCGCTGGTAGGCCTTCGAGTCAAACCCACACAAGTCTACAACCATACCACCCCAAACATGTCTGATTTCATCCAACCCACTCAGCAGTCAAGGAGAGCTATCCAAAGTTCAGTCATGTCTCTTGTGGGGTGGGGGGAATCCAAGCTCCGTTGGTGTTCAAGCCTTCTAAGATCTGCTCCTTCTCACACCTCTGTTTCGTCCAAAATCTCAGGTACATATAAGTATGGTTTGAAAAGCATTTGAAGAAACACTGCCTCCTATCCTGGGGACAACTGCACAACTATCCCTTGCCAGGAGAGGTCTGCTCAGACTTAGCCTTGAAGGAAAATGCAGTGGCCACTGGGTGGTTTCCTTTCCTTCCATTGTTTGGCTCCCAGGGCTTCAGCGCACAACCCCCACAGGGTACACCCCAGCTCCAAGGCACAGGCTGTGTTTTTAATCGTCAAGCTAATCATTTACTTCAGCAAGCCCAAGGATCTTTCCAGCAGCTTGATAAGAGGGGAGCTATTCAGCTTCAGGTGGCAAACCCTCAGTGGCATTGGAGGAGATACGGGAAGGACTCAGAAGGCCGCCCTGTCCCTGGGGTGCTCAGGCCAAAGGATGTGGAAAGTTGTGATGTCATGCTCTGTGTCTTTGGACTGCGTTTTCTCTCCCAGGTGCCTTAACCACTCTAGATTACACAACGCCAAGTGGAATGAGGGTTATGGAAAGTTCTGACTGCCTACCTACGTACAGCCCCAAAGGGGCAGCCGAAGGAAGTTGGCACCACCCTTCAGTCCTCAAGTTAGTAAAGAACTGGGTCAGACCAAAGGCTAAGATGACGAGAGTTCAACATGTACGACGTGAGGGCCTGGTATATTGGACCATGGTCCCTTGTAACTGATCTTAAAAAAAACGGCTGGATTTTCATCTGTTAGCTGTGTAACCTCTCAGCGTTTGTCAAAATTAACTACTTTTTCCAAGACCATTTCCATACCCTGAAGGAGACAACGAACCATGATATCCCGCCTCTGTCAGCTGTTTTGACTAGGTTGGTAGTCCCAGTGTGGTTCTGTGGCCGGCACAGCCACTTCTCCCACAGGGACCGTCATGTCTACCAAAAGAATCTGGTCTGCATATTGCCTAGCTGCTACCTGAAATTCTATTTCACTCTTCAGGAGTGAGAGTAGAAGCTTGGATGACGTGATAGTCATGCCAGGTTAGATTGTAGGTCTGGGACAAATAACAAAACTCTTTGATATAAGCAGAAGGATTAGTAGAAAAGGAACCTAGCCGCTTTTCTATCTGAGAGAGCTCTGGAAGAGAAAAGGGAACATGAACTTTCATAATGCCACCGGCTCCCACCACCTCCCAGAGAGGGCAGAGAAGGGCGGAGCTATGGTGGGACCTGGTATTAGAGGAGACTGGGGAGGATTGGGAGGGGTTAGCCCCAGTGCGCAGAGGAGGTCCAAGGGTGGGGAGAGGGTCCAAGGTAGGAGGGGGGAGGAGAGGAAGGTGGGTAAGGTGGAAGTTGACCTTGAACTTCCAGATTAGCAAGGGAGGGGGTAGACAGGGAAGGAGAGAAATGTGGAGAAAGTCTCTCCGTAGGAGGGGGTTGGATAGTGTGGACTTGAGGGAGGAGAGGAGGGGCCAGTGCCTCTGGCTGCATGGTCCAGTAGGAATTGTCAGGGTCCCAATTCCCAGATGACCGGGAATTTGGAGGTGTTGCGGCCTTAGCTACCAAGACCAGAGGCAGGCGGATCTCAGTGAATTCGGGCCAACCTGGTCTCAAAGCAAGTTCCAGGACAGCCAGAACTGTTACACAGAGAAACCCTATCTCAAAAAAACCAATAAAATAATAGCTAAAAAAAAGGGAACAATTCAAACTGGGTCGACTAAATAAGGAACAGAAAAACTATGGAATATGAAGCATTAATTCATGCTACAAAATGAATGACCCCTGAAAATACTAGTCATAAAGACTTCAAATTGTGTAAATCTACCACATAGCGAATCTAGAATAGGCAAGTCTGTAAGGGGCTGAAAGTAGATTGGTGCTTGCCTAAGGTCTGAGAGAAACAGCTTGATTGCTGATGGTTATGGGTTCTTGTTTTTTTGTACTGTAGGTGATTAAAATGCTCTAAAATTGTGCCTGGTGGTGGTGATTAACACCTTTAATCCCAGCACTCGGAGAGAGAGGAAGGTGGATCTCTGTGAGTACAAGGTCATCCTGGTCTACAAAGTGAGTTCCAGGACAGTCAGGGCTACACAGAGAAACCCTGTTTCAAAAAAAAAAAAAAAAAACCTAAAATTGTAATTCCATAACTCAATTAATATATTAAAACCCTTCAGTGTGTACACTTTAAAATGAGTGTTTCAAATGGTATATAAATTATATTTCAACAAAGCTATGATCATAAAAGTGGAATGAGGTAACATTATTATAACATGAGTAAACCTTGAACACATGTTAAGTGAAAAAAGCAAGATATGAAAGTCACAAATTATGTGATTCAACTTATGTACTTACTTATTGTTTTTTGGGGGGGAGGGGTCTCAAGTAGCCCAGGCTGGCCTTAGACTTGCTAGCTTCTGAGGATGACCTTGAACTCCTGTTCCTTCTTCCTGTACCCACTCACCCCCAGTGCGGGGTTACAGGTCTACACCACCATGCTTGGCTGCAGGATCCCACTTACACGAAATGCTGAGAACAGGGAAATCTACAGGCAGGAAGTGGGGTAAGTGGTGGCAGAGAAAACACGAGGATGCTTCCTCAGAGGTATGGTAGTTTCTTTTTTTGAGTGTTGAGAATCTTCTAAAATTAGGTAGTAGTGATGATAATTACACATCCGTGTGAATAAAGAAAAACTACTAAATTACACTTTTCAAAATGATGTACTGCCCAGGATCGTGGTACAAGCTTTTAATCTCAGCACTTGGAAGGTAGAGGTAGGTGGATCTCTGTGAGTTCAAGGCCAGCCTAGTCTACAAGTGAGTTCCAGGCAACCCTAGGCTTTGTAATAAGACCTTCTCTGTCTCACAAAAAAATTGATAACTCATATATATAAATTATGTCTCGATTGTTTTTTTTAAAGCCTCCAATCCAGGTATGGTGGCATATGCCATGAACCCCAGCACTCAGGATACCAAAGCAGGAGGATCACCTCCAATTTAAGGTCAGCCTGGGACAGAGTGAGACTGTTCATTCTAGAATAAACAGAAACTAGAACTCTGGTTCCAGCCTTTTCACCTGTTATTATTTTAGCCTTATAACAACACATTTTACCCATCTTTTGTTTCGGGGAAGGAATAGCTAACGTGAATATCCCTTTCTTTTTTTTTTTTTTTTTTTGGTTTTTTCGAGACAGGGTTTCTCTGTGGCTTTGGAGCCTGTCCTGGCACTAGCTCTGTAGACCAGGCTGGTCTCGAACTCACAGAAATCCGCCTACCTCTGCCTCCCGAGTGCTGGGATTAAAGGCGTGCGCCACCATCGCCCGGCTGAATATCCCTTTCTAATTGAAAAAAGTTCCATTGTCTTTGGTCCTTCTTTTCCTCTTTCTCAGCCCTTTGAAGCTTCATACATCTTTTGAAAAGGATTTATTTATTTATTTATTTATTTA